TATTTAGTATATACATTAAATACTTACTAAAGTATTTATTTGTTTTATTTGTCAAAGTTAAGTATAGATTTGTTTATATTATCAAATCATAAAAAATATTAAATTCATATTGTAAAAAAAAAAATCATATAATTTTATAACAATTCTACTACACTATTTAACAATATTATTTTTTTATTATATAATAAAATAATAATTAAATATTACATGGTGAACAACAATAAGTAAAACTGTTACTTTCTCTTATATCAATGGATAAATTTATATGCTAAAATTAAATTTTTATTAGTATAAATATTTTAGTGAGATAATATATTAATTATTTTACAAGCTAGCTCTAACATGCTCATATTTAATGTTCTAAAAGATGTAGAAAAAAAACTTATAATAACTCTATTGTTTTATAGACTTAAACGTTAATTAAAAGAGGTAAAAATTCCTAATTTTTTAGACTTAAACGTTGATTAACACCATAGATTGAGAGTTTATATTTAGTAAAATTCCTAATTGTAATTAAAAAATTAGTTTTTGCTATATTTTAGAATATCTTTAAATTCATTATAAAAAAAAGGAAAAAAAAACTACAATGAAAAAAATAAGTCAGCTATATATCGATTTGTTGTACTCCTCAAATCACATTCACAATTTGGTTACAAGGAAATGAAACTCATTGATTAAAATATTATTTTGTCAGTAGTCTTAATGTACAAGAGACTTTAAGACTCCACCTGAATATTATAACATTTTTATTGAACATCGTACAATTTCTTGCATATTATAAACTTTTATTGAATATTGCATCTTATAATATAATATTTTCCAAATAAATATATCTCGCGAGTCACGTACTATATATATTCCGTACATTTTTCTTTATTCATGTATATAAGATAAATAGCCTTAAAATTGTGCACTCCGTGCATCGCACGGGCTCTGTACTAGTTATATTAAGAGGAGATAACAAAAAATTTAATACTATTACATTATATGTTTCCATAAACCACATAACCGGTATATATATCTTGCGAAGAGAGGAATTTATTGGTGGTGGCTCTCCCTTCTCCGTGTGGATGTAAAAAGTTTGAGTGAAAAATATTAACCTATTTATCTTTCTTCTTGTGGTCGAAGCAAAGCCAACGAAATATTCGCATATTTTAAATTTTACTAATTTACGGCCGCCGGATCCTCATCCATCATATATGATGACCCATCACAATCATGACCGATATCATCACCTCAATATAAAAGCGCCAACAAATTCTCACGGTGCTTAATTAATTACCAGGAAAATTCACAATAATAAAAAAGTAAAAAATAATCACGACAGCCATAGGAGAGTGAGGTAGAGAGAGAAAGAGTGGCATCTCTGGGTTTCGTCTCCTTGGGTTGTGCCGTTTTCTCTGCCGGTAAAGCACCTCCATCATCTCTCTCTCTCTCTCTCTCTCTCTCTCTCTCTCTCTACATGCCAAATTCTGAATTAACGTTATTTGTATCTTTTTACTTTGTTGCCTCCATTTAGGATTGAGATGTGATTAGATCTGCTCTCGTTTTGTGCCTCTTTTTTTGTGTGTATGTTTGTTTCCTTTTTATTTGACTCATATTTACAGGTTAAATTTGTGGAGAAGCTTCCGTAGATTATCTTCATGCTTTTATTTTTTCTGTTCTTGTTTATTTGCGGTATTTTGATCTGTCTTTCCTTCTCTCATGTTTATTCATTATTTTCATGGGAATCTTTTGTACCAAACATGGATGAATTGTTGCTTATGGTTAGGTTTCTGGAACATCCTGAAATTTTTGGGAATATCCGCGTGGATGTATCTTGAAAATTAAACTCTGGATGGGTTGCGTGTTATTAGATTGCTTTGGAAGAAAATACTAACTGTATAAAATATTGCCCTGGGTAGGGTGTTGCCCTATACTGTCAGCCCGTGTTGTTTATCAAGCTGCTTGGTTTGAGCATGAAGTATGCTATGTATATTGTTGTAGATATTTTAAGGAACTATATGGATTCAGCTGTTCTAGATAGTGGAGAATTATTCTGTTAGCAATTGTTTTCGTGGGGTTGTTCAGTTGTTTTTGACTTTTATTTGATGCAGCATCATGTAGTTATCTCGTGGAATATTCAATTTATTTGTTGTGTGTTATACTCTTGTTGTCCTTTTAAGGTTTTTTGGCTCATTTCTTTTTCACTCTGCCATCAGGTTGTGTTACCTTTTGATACAAAGGAATTAATATTATCTAGGACATGGAGAAAGTTTGCCTGTGGTCAGATTGCTACCAACATAGGGCCTTTTCATTCCAAGAAGTTCTTGACTGGCGATTTTCCATCGTTGGAGATTTTCTTCTTGTTTCTTTTGTCAATTGCACTTAGGCAAAAGCTATTGTGAAGTGAGTGCGGGAAAGTGAATGCGTATATGGTATATAATAGATGTTGAATCTTTAGTGCGCTTCTACAAGTGAGTGGCATAAACCAATATATTCGGGAAGCTGCTTATGCCGTTACTTCTACGATGCCATTGATCTTCTTATGCAATTCCTTTGCTGATAGTCCAATGTTGATGCAACATCTCTTTTCTGATCCTTTGGAATCTTTTTTCTTGAGGTATTTAATTGCTTTTACTTTGTTACTTCTGTGTTTAGTTTTGCTACATATTTCATATTTGACTATATAGTTTATTATTAACCTATGACTTAATGGACCCTTCTTGAGTTGGTTTTCATTTTCTTTTTCTGTTCCAGGACAAGAGTGTTTTGAGTTCTGAAAGAAAGTTTACCGTCTTCAAAATATTACATATCCGTTGCTCTGTACAGAGTGGTAGTGAATAATGTTCAGTCACCTTTATGTGTTATGCTCGATGGTCGGTTGACAAAAGCTGTATTCAGTCGATTGAAGTGCTGCATCAGATTGATTATCTTGCACAGGAACATAATGCCCAGAAACATGTATTAACCATGTCTTTATCCAATGCAACAACATGTATTTGCAGCACCTAACATTGTTGGTCAGTCTTGATCAGCATCAGGATGTTTTACAGTACAGCATTACCTCTGTCTTGTCCCTATTTCAAAATCTTTGATTTGGAATACTATGTCGACAAATGTCTGGAGCCGGTGAATCATAATCCAGTTGGTTTCGCTCATGTACTGTGGATGAGTTGATTGTCGATTTTCCTGAATCAGTCAGGCCTCGTTATAGTTTTTGTTTGTCGTCTACAGAATACAAAAACGTACTTATCTGTCTTGTTTTCGTTATCCAGTAAGTAGCATTCAGGAGCTGTTGGATTGCAAAATGGAAAGGTATGGTATTTAGGAATTCATTGTTGTTATGAATACTTTTAGTTTCTTTTAGGTGGATTCAGCAACATAATGGTCGGTGCAGATATAAGGTCATTAAAGAAGTCGGTAATGGCACCTTTGGAAATGTCTGGCGAGCTCTAAACAAGCAATCTGGTGAAGTGGTATGCCAACGTGATGTTATATATTTATGTTCTTCTGTTGAATCATAACTCAAAAGTTTCTCCATTTAAAATGTAAATTAATGAAACTTAAAGTTATTCTTAATGCTAATGAGTTTTATGTACAGGTTGCTATTAAGAAAATGAAGAAAAAATATTACTCGTGGGAAGAATGTATTAACCTCAGAGAAGTGAAGGTAAGGAAGTATTTCTTTCTTGGTTTATTCTAGGATATATATGTGTCTGAGTAAATGACANTCTCTTCTATCTTTACTTTTTTTTTTCTTGAAATTTTCTCTAACAGTGGAGTTGCTGTGTTGACATCTTTCAGGAGTGTAATTTATACCAGCTAATGACGGAAAGACGAAGCTTCTTCTCGGAGACTGATGTGAGGAACTGGTGCTTTCAAGTATTTCAAGGTCTTGCGTACATACATCAGCGTGGATACTTCCATCGCGACCTCAAGCCAGGTTATTGTTATGTCATTTATTCATTTGAATGAGGATGCCACCGTAGATGCATGTTTATCTTTCAAGCACTTATTATAGACTGTGATTGTTTGTTGTAGTTAGAATTGTCATAATGCTTATAGTATTTTGTTCCAAGCTGATTGAGTGTTTTGGTTCAATTCCTTACTGGAGATGCCCGTGCTCTTCCAATCTGAGTTCCACAATCACTCTTTTTTTGTTTTATGGATAATATGTCATTATAAGTTGATATTAACCTTTGAGGGATGCATCATGAGTTTCTAAGCAAACCTGCAAATTTTGGTGATATTTGTATGTTTTCATTTGGAAATCTTCACTTGCTGCTTCATTTTGATTGTATATTGCATGCATGGCTGATGTGTATAGCTCTGGCCCTTGAACAGAGAACTTGCTCGTATCAAATGATATCATAAAGATAGCTGATTTTGGTCTTGCTCGGGAGATCAATTCTCAACCTCCATTGACTGAATACGTTTCAACCCGCTGGTATGTAGTTTTCCCTCGTTTTCTATTTACTTCCGTTCTACATGTTTTTCTTTACTTTATCCAATGTGTTTTGCAGGTACAGAGCTCCTGAAGTTTTGGTTCAGTCTCCAACATATGGTCCCCCAGTTGGTGAGTGGATGATACAAAAGCTGTTTCACTATTTTGAAGATTTGTTTTCTTAATATTTATGCTATTTTCCTTCAGATATGTGGGCAATGGGAGCGATAATGGCAGAATTATTCACACTTCGTCCTTTATTTCCTGGTTCCAGGTATACATATCGTTCATGGGAGCTGCCTTTTGTTTCTTTATTTCTTGCTGTGAATTATTCTTTCATATTGCATTGTTCCTTTAGAAGTGTTAGCTCATTAGAACACACTCGTACTTTACCCCATCTTGAGATGAAGAAGCATGTAGAGACTAAAATTTACTTCACAATATAAGATCTATACTTCTGGACTATATGGGAAGTTCATGACGTCTTCTCAAATTTCTTTTATTGTAGTGAGCCTGATGAGATCTACAAGATATGCTGCGTGATAGGGAGTCCAACCAGGAGTGAGTGGAATGAGGGTCTTGAACTTGCTAGTGCCATAAATTATCAGTTCCCATGGGTGAGTTTCATTTAATCTTGCTTCTGATGAAGTCATGTGTTGATTTACAGTATTTATTTCTCGTTTCATTTTAACATTTTTTTGGTAAAGGGTTTCCAAATTAGATGCATTGTTCCTGTTTAATATGTTTGAGAGATTTTTAAATATGCTTAAAAAGTAGTAGAGGGTTGGGATATGTTTGATTTAGAAGAATAAGTTATTGAATGTATTGCTGATTGATTGGATTTGCTCAGTGTCAATGGTAAAAGCCCTTGAGCAAAAAATTTAAGTCCTTTCCATTCTTTCAATGTTGGTATGTAGATATTTTTGTTGGATATGACCTTCTTTTGAAATTTTGTCTTATGTCTTTTTTTTGCTTATCTTCTGCCCTATCTGGTGGCAGGTTCCTGGTGTCCGTCTTTCTTCCTTGCTACCAGGTGTTAGTGAGGATGCAATCAACCTTATCAAGGTAACTAATATTTTATTTTTCTGATAGGACCAGCGAAAATTTTTCCTTCAATGCCAGAAACTAATGTGTTCTTTTTCTTGTTTGTGCCAAATCTAGTCCCTATGTTCGTGGAATCCATGCAAGAGGCCCACAGCCTTGGAGGTCCTTCAACATCCTTTCTTTCAGGTGGTTTTTACTCTCTTGGAATCAATGTTTAATTTGACCAACATCTGATAAGAGCGGATGTAAATTTATTATGATTGGTTTCTTGTGTCCTAACACATGGTTCAAATTTGGCAGAGTTGCTTTTATGTTCCTCCATCTGTACACTTTAAAGCTGGAACACCTCCTGGTAAGCCTTTGCAAAATTGATGCACTTTAACTTATATATGTTGTTGATGTTATGAGGATAGGTAATTCATATATTATGTACATGCAGCTGGAGCAAGGGGAGGTTTGGAGCAAAATTATGGAATGAAGTATATGGGGAGTTCATCAAACTTCAAACCGGAAAATAGTTTCCCATGTGCAAAGCCACAGGCATACATGGTTCCAGGTATATAGTTTGATGATAAATATTTGGCGTAGTTGCTGATTGTTATTCGCTTCAAGTCATATTAGTTGTTTTATCCCATTATCGAATATCCTCTTGCTTTCTATTTTGCGGTCAAGTGTTATGGCGGCCATGGCCGTATGGCTATAGCGGGATTTGAAAGCTTATATAATCTGCATGGTGTTTTTGAAAGCTGATAATGTTGTGACGTGGATTGATATTCATTTCCCTTTGTGTTGGCCCAGAATTTGTTTCTTCTAAATAAAACGGATCGTATGTTCTCTCTATTTGTTTAGTAATTTGTATATCTGTTTCAAATGTCTGTGTGGTTCTTGTTGGTATGGTCTGTTGAAAAGCATCAGGTTATGACAATAGTTCCATATTTTAACCAGGTGCTCAACGGAAGTTGGACATGAATGATCAGGTAAAACACGAAAAAAATCATTAATTTGTAGTTAAACTCGTGTGATATAATTCCTAATATTTTTCAATCTATATACGGTGCCAGGCTTTGACTAAAAATCCCAATGAATTAAGGAACTATTCCAAGCTTCAGCCAAGATATCAGCCACCTGGGATAAACTGCCCATGTAAGTATCCATATTATCCTGCGTATTGTGTTCATGGATCGGGAATCTTGATAACTCTGGTCTCGTCTATTAGACAAAGACTATTTTGATGGTCATAACTTGCTTTGCAACAGCTGTTAACCTAGGGAAAGCACATGGTGTGGTGGATGCAGTTGATAAGTTTGCTAACATGGCAGTGGGGCCCGGTAGGCCTCCACCTATGAAGGTTGGATGTTGGCATAAGCAATCTGATTTGTTCCTTGGACGTTCACAAGAAATTATCCCAACACAAGCAGCTTATAACAGGAAGGTTGCTGGATAAAAAGAGAGATTGCTACAGTTATCACTTATCTGGACAAGTTCTTATGCTTCTGTTTGTACCTTATGCTTTCTATTTGTGTCTGGCATATTTGTGTGTTTTATCTTATGATGTGTTGTTTCTCTTCCCGTTCCCAACTGAATGCAAAATATGAATACAGTCGCTTTTTAAGCTAATGAAAGTAATAAATTAGTAATATAGTTGCTTAGCCTTTGGAAATGTTGCTTCCAACTCAACACAATGTTCACTGGTAATGCAAATGGCAGATATGCAGCACTGAAAAGTTGACTTCAAGATACAAGATAAATTTTGTAATATCTTAAGCCTGTGTTACCCAGTTTTGATTTGTTTCAACCATCATCCCAACCATAAAATAGTCGAACAGAAATACAATGAATATCCAAAACGCCTTCATATCCGAAATCCCATTAATAACGAAGTACACCCCTAACAAATATTACTTACTTAGATTAAACCAGCATCTGAAAGGAAGAAGCAAATAAATGAAAAAAACTGTACGCCCTTGTAACGAAAACACTTCCC